TATTAGAGGATTAGCTCCATTCTTAAAGGCCCTTAGTGGGCCACCCTTACCCAAGGAGACGGAAATCCGTGAGGGGTGAGGTGTGACATTTTTAGGGCCGACCTTTTTCTACCCTTCCTTCCGTGTGAAGAAGGCAGCATCGCTGCAGATGCTGGTTGTCCGAGGGAAACACCTTACTGCTGTCACACCCCTCTACATTCAGCAGTACGACTTTGCCCTGAGACCTTGAGTATCTGCTTTTAGTCTCATCGTTGCTCCAATCGACCTGTCTGGCATGGTAGGACCTGCAGGAACATATGTTCCAGCCAGTATAGCTCGGTTGGGTTCATCACGATAGGCAAGCCCGACCACCACGTCAAGGTAGCAGCTTCGGCGGTATTCTCTTTTTTAAGAAGACGAAAGTTAATCTATAAGAATTTCTAAGTTAGATTAAAAATAACACTAACGCGAAACATTTTCCCATAACTGAACTTATGAAGAAAAGATTTTTTCCTGGAATTTTTCCCCAAAAAAAATATGTGCCTAAACGTACTTCCTGCCTGTGGCGCTTACGTGGTGCTTAGGCTAACCGAGCAGCATTCTCCACAACCTATTCTGTCCTAGTGTCGACCCTTTCGCAGTTCTACCCAATCTCCATTTCATTCTTTTGATGCTTCTTTCCGTTTTCGGCTCAGTGAATTCTTGGCTGTCGCTTTACCTCTGTCCTAAGGATTCTAAATGAGGACTTTCTTGTAATGCAACTGAATGATTCCCTCAATATATATTCCTATCCACCTCTTGCGCTTTTCCCTAATTTTCTTAAGTAGGCTGTTATGACGGTGTGTGTCAACGAATGAAGTAAACTTGCTATACAACTTAAAGAACATATGTATCTTGTGGATGATGACAGTCGCAATTATTCAAGTTTTCGCTCCGCACACAGGGGAACTTCCTTGACATTTGTATGGAAAACTGTGACCTTGCTGTTGACTGACAGTCATTTGCTTCAATTACAGATGTACTTCACTTGTAGAAATACTGCGCATTGTTTTTCCTGATCTGCGTCTTTGAAGCTTTATCAGATCCATTTTGTTTAAGGTGCTCAGGTCCTGCAGCAGGTTTTCTACCATCTTCCAGAACTTCTCCGTGGAATTGAGGATGTGGGTGGTTTCAAGCTGTATTGGTATCGGAAGGATCTTGCTTTTCTATTGTTTATGGTGCAAACTACTGCTGCTACACTAGCCGACTTCTGGACTTGTTGCGTGTGGAGACAGAAGAGTTAGATCATCTGCGAAGTCGAATCGTCAGCTGCATCCTAGCCGTCTAATGTCCACTAATGCTTCCCTTGAGATGTTGACGTCTTCATAATCCATTCGACCACCAGAAGAAAGAGACCCTATCTGACTGGTTTACATTCGGAATGAATCTGTGGGCCGCTCTTCATGAATGGTCTTACAGTTTAGTTCATCATAAAAGTTCCGTATGATGTCGAGTATCTTCTCAGGTACACCATAAAGCCGAAGAAATCTGCATAGTGTTATCCTGTCAACTCTGTCGAACGCATCCTCATAGTTAAGGGTGTTGATGTAGAGTGAATCTCATTCGGTTTAACAACACTCAATTGAAGACGCTTCCTAGTATTGAGAGTGGATTGATCGCTCTGTAGTTCTCATACTTGCTAAGATCTTCGGTGTCTTGATAAGTTGCGCTTCTTTTCAGTCTGTTAGTGCTTGTTTTTCCTCCAAAATCTTGACGAATAGAGTAGAGTAGCGTTGCAAGTTACTGCTATGTTTGCTTTCAGTGCCTGAGCTGGCATATTGTTTGACCCTGTTGCTTTACCACTCTTGATTCGTTTGATGCCCATGCTCATCTCTTCAATTGTTGATGGATCAACATTAATTGTGAGCTCTGCTGCTTCGATGTTTGATGGATAAAGTGGGATAGTTTTTCAAAGTGCTCTACCCACCTGTTTCGCTGTTCTTTGATGTCGGTGATCGATTAGCCTTCCTTGCTTTTCACTGATCGTTCTGGTTTACAATATTTTCCAGTGAACTTCCTCGTGTCGTATAGTTGTCTCGCGTTTCCTTCTCTTGCAGCATTTTCTGCTATCATTGCTAGATCTTCCACATAGTAACATTTATCAGCTTTAGCGCCCACTTCATTTGCAGGTTTACTTCTGTGTATTCGACCTATCCCTTAGCTTTCTCTGCTCTTGTTCGGCTGATGTTGTTTGCTGCCCTCCTGATCTTCATCACTTAAATCTTATCCACGACATCAACAGAGATCCATTCCTTTTGATAGTGCTTCTTGTGGCCAAGAACCTCATGACATGTTGAAGTCATTACTTCTTTGATCCCATTCTAGTTGTTGTACA